AGATATCAAACTTGTGCTTGATGGTAGGTGATCACCTTGATCAATCTGACCAAGAAGATGTATGCAAACCAACCTATGATCAATCTGACCAAGAAGATGTATGCAAACCAACCTATGATCAATTACTTGAAATTTATGAGAAAATTCATGCATCATATATGAAACTTAAGAAATCGCATGCTAGTTTAAAATTGGAGTTTCGAATTTATAAAAAGAGCATGAAGTTTTATTGAAATATTACTTCCAAATTGATAGCAATCACATGTCTTTACTTGATGAGTTTGATAAATTGAATAAAAAGCATTTAGAGCTGGTTATTGAGCATGATTCATTGAAAGCATCCTACACCTCACTTTAATCTAATTTTAAGATATATATTGATGAATCTAAACGTAGGGAGCACTATTTGAGAGTTGATAATGTTGTTTTAGAAAATGTTAACTTAAGGTTTAAAACTGAATTGAATGCAATTGAGAAAAATAGGAATATACCCACACTTGATCTAAAGCTAAAACCTAGGAAGAGGTATTATAACCCAAACAGATTAGTGAATCATTTTTTTGGTGTTAGATGTTTTACATGTGGCATGCTAGGACACATTTCACATACTTGCACTATTCACCGTAGTATACATTGAGTGTGGAGACCCAAATTGCATGATCCACAACATAACATATATGCATTGCATTTTTCTTTCATAAGAAGGGACCCAAATCTGTTTAGGTTGCTAAATCTAATGTTTGATAATTTTGCAGGCTTGCTCTCTCAAAAGACCTCGTGAGAACATGTGGTACTTGGATAGTGGAGGCTCACGACTCTTAATTGTGTTGCTTAATAAATTTTGATTTGCATGTTTTCTGCTCTATTGCTTGTTATTATTTTCCTTTCTTTCTTTTATGTTTGTTGTTATTTTTCTACTCTTTTATTTATTTCAAATTTGATTGTTTCACTTTCTACTTGCTTTTATTCTTCGTGTTTTATTTCTGTCATTTTAGTTTTTTTTTTTTTGTGATCACTGTTGAAATAATATTTTATGCCTTATTTTTATTTTTGAAAATTTGTAATCAATGTCTGACATCCCTAAATCAGTTAAAGGGAGAAACACCGTTGATTGTTTCCTTTCCTCTAACCTCTTTTAGCGGTGTAATTTTTTTTTCTAAATAAAAATCTATCTTAAATTAACAACTGAACTTTGCAATTGAGATCTTTTCTATCTTGCTACAGTAATGTATCTTATATTTATAATGTTTAAAGTCTTTATATTACTTTCAAATTATTTGAAATATTGTCAATGAATTTATCATATAAATTTGATTTTGTGGTTTATTCTTTCTTATATTAAAGAGTGAGTTTTTTTCTCTAATATCTAGAAGATATACTCACAACTAAGAGTATTTAAGAGTTTTGAAAGGGATATTACTTGTAAAAATGGCAAGGGCATAAAATGGGCTCCAACAAAAAAAATAAAAAAATAAAAAAAAGGTGGTTAATGACGCCAAATCAAAAGATGCGCAATGATGCTAAAATTGAAAGATACACAAAGTATATCAAAAATCAAAAGATGCTTAAAGTGTGCCAATCAATTGACAAGATCTTATCTTTCAAACTTTTAAATTTTAGAAGATTTATGTGTCACTTGATATTTTTAAATGCTTGATTTCAAATATCACAATTGTGACAAATTACTTTGGTACATTATTCTATAAAATATTTTTCTAGAACCAAGTTTTGAATGGATCTCTTTTTCCTATCCATGGTTTTTCTGAGTTAAGTATTTTGTTTCCAAAAGACGATTTGCCCTGAGAGAAGTCCAAGCTAGGGCTAACAGGATCGATTGTTTTACCATTTTTTTTATTGCAATGATGTTAATTCATTGATTCTTACAAATTTTTAATTCAATCACATGAAGAATTTATCATATTCAAACTTTGATAAAAAAAAACTATTTGTTTTTTCGTTCCTTTTGATATTATATCTTTTTCGTATTTTATTTTTTATCTTCTTCAGTTGATTTTTTATATTTTTTGGCCTTCTCTGATCATCTTCATCAAATCTCTGATTTTAAAATTTTTGTCACATTTTGCCGGACGATATTTATATCGTCTTGGACGATCTATTCAATTCACTCTTGAAATTCTATATGACGGTTGATTTGACTCTTTTGTTTCTAATCATCCTGGACAATGCATTATCATCCTAGACGATCTGATCGTCTTCTGTTTCAATCATTTGTGATCGTCCTGGATGATCCACCTCGTCCTGGACGATCTTCATAATTTCTACTCAATTATTGGTGATTGTCCTGGATGATCCACTTGTTCGTCCTGGACGATCCACATGGAAAAATTTAACACATGACTTTAATTTGGATGGTACGATCAATTATTGCGAATCATCCTGGATGATTCACCTAATTGTTCTGAACGATATGCTTTTTCAAGGGTCGTCCGGAATGACTCATTGGGATGATCGCTTGTGGCTTATCATCCCGGATGATATTTGATCGTCCTGAATGGTATTACTGCCTTTTTGATCAATCGTCCCAGACGTAATTATTACACTCGATCGTCCTGAACGATTCTGCAATCATCCTGGACGATTCTGCAATCATCCTGGACGATCGGATATTTTCTTAAAAAAATCGAGGCATTCCAAATAATTTTTTCACACAATCTTTCTTGAATCCTCTTTGTTCTTACTTCCTCTCTATTTTTCTTGATTATGGCTGGTGGAAAATGATATCGCATGCCTTCTGGGAGCTCTTTGAGGGCAAATCTGGACCCTCGATTCACTGAGGCGACCGTCAAGCTTCCTATCTGAGGTACAAGATGACTGAGATCACTATATCCCGAATTGTCAATCCTCACATCCTTTCCTATTATGTTCTTGATTTATTTGCTCACATTACTCTCACTTTTTCCTTACTCCTACCATCCCATTCAATTCGGAGTTACTATTTGAATTCTTCGCTAGCCTTCGCATCAATTCCTCTTTCACTGCTCTGTAGTCTTATGTGAGTAGACGACCTGTCGAAATCACTTATCAAGACTTCGAAGAGCTCCTGTAACTATCCACTCATGAGATAAACTCCACATCCTGTGTCAAGATCCCGACGACGACTGGGCTCCGGCCAATCACTTTCTGAGGAACACCAATGTTTTTTATCATGTTGGAGAGTCAAGTACCTTACTCAAAGATGCTAGGCCAATCTAGCATGTCCTTCGTACCTCAGTCCTTCCAAAAGTCGGTGATCGCATTCATATCACTCCACTCCTTTCGATCACAACTATTTACATCATGGTCCACCGAGAATTTAATGCCTATGATATGATTTTTCTATATATTGAGCACCTAACGAGCATCAAAGATCCAGAACATAAGAGGAAGCCCAATATTGCCCTAGAACACATCATTACCTATGTCCTAGAATCCAAATACAACCTTCAATATCCTGCCCCACCAAACTTTCAGCATGCCTTCTACTCAAACAACTCCTTCCACAGTCTTCATAGTACTCGTCTCCATCCGAAGCTCGAGGAAGCTGAGGGAGCTGAGGAGGAAGCTGAGGGAGCTGAGGAGGAGCACCTGATCCACTCCGCCAGCACTCACAGCTGGATCAGCTGGTAGAGCGGTTCGACCAGTGGGAGACACGGTTCGAGTCCTACGTTGCTGCACAGGAGCAGCACCATGCAGAGGACGTTGCACGCTTTGACTCTTACGTGGCTCACCAGTAGCACCAGCATGACCAGGATATGGCCTGGTTTGGAGTGCAATTTGTCACTCTTTCCAATTACTTTCATCCACCACCACCACCACCTTCTTCGAATGATCAGGGGCCATCCTTCTTTTAGTTTGTTTTCATGATGTTGTTTCTTTTTTCTTGTTGTAGTTTGATTCTCTTTACGGATTTAAGTCCTCCCAACTAAATCACTTAAATCTGGCATACTCTCCAATATATATATATATATACAGAATTTTCCTGACTCGACAAGAATACCATACATATTTCAATCAATTAAAAATGATTCCTCTGAAAATTTGTAAATAAATCATATTTCAATAGAACTCCTATATTGTAGAGAATTCTATAGCTGTGACCTCTGCATGAAATGCAAGCTAGTCATCTTAGTGTTTGTGGACTTTTTTATGGCTTTTAGCTCCTTTCAAACCCAAATCTTTTAGTCATTCCCCTTTTGTAGGCGAAGTACTGCGTTGATCCCCTTTATTCACCCATCGACTCCAAGTTATTTAGTTTATTTATTTTTCAAAGGCAACAGATTACAAGATCATTGTGTAAAGCCAACATACACCTTTATTTTTGGAGAAGTTTGGCTGTCTATAATCCATGACTTTTAGCTACTGAAAGTTATTTCAATGATGAGAGCCCCATGGTTTTTCTTTGCGTAAAAATTCATTCAACTATTATGTGTTAAAATTTTAATTATTTGACTATGTGAAACCATCATTTGAAGCTAAGACAATAAATTCACTCACTCTAACAATGTGATATTCTAACAACCTTCAATTATATAGCAACAAATACAGTACATTTTGTTTAGAATATTGCTATTTGAAAATAGTTATTTTCTAGATATATAGCGTTTTTAATCTTTGAACCAAAAAAGAATGAACTTTTTTTGGGATACTCATTAGTTGAAGGGATCCTACAAAGAATAATTTGGTGGATAAATCCTTTCACCTCCATCATGAGATGATCAATGGGTAATAATAAAATAACTTAACTAACTCCTACTTAATCACAAGTTTATTAATAATCTCATGAACTACTCCTTGACTATTTTTTTATTATCTCATTCTAACAATATTTTTTTCCCAAAGCATCCAACTACCGTGTGCCAAAAGGAAATCAGCATGATCCTTAAAGACGTGGAAGTATATGTAATCATAGTTTAATCAAGGCTAAGTTGACAACCAAATATAAAAATAACAAAAAATATTAAAGTGTTCCTCTCATCTTCCGAATTCCAAACAACCAATCACTGGTCTATTCCTGCAAACATTTTCCCATGTCTTGGAGAAGAAGATCAAAGACAGTAAACTGAGATCTTTCCTTCTTTCTATCTGTCTTCTCTTGGCTCTTTCTGCTCTCTCTCTCTATCTACTTTTATCCTCTTTTTGCTTCCTTTGGCGCTTTTCAGCTAATTACTCTTCTGCTCGTCTGCAAAAATTCATTTTTAACGTCTATTTTTTAGTTATACACTTTCCATACCGTATTTCAAAATAGTATTATATATTAATTTATTTTTTTTCTGGTGAAAGTTAGGTATCTTGCTATTATATAGTAACGTTTACCTACTTTGTGGAGAAGTACCTCACTATTGAAGTCGCTTCTTATTTCTTCTTGGATTGATGAAGTGCTTTTCATGCAGGCCAAATGAGCAATGACCAGTAATAAATAGAAAGTAATCATTTTGTTCTTTTAGAGAGAGAAAAGATAACTTCTTTATCAGTTGCAGACTGATATAGATCAAGAAGGAAGAAATGGGAAGGTTTGCGTGTCTTGTGGAAGTCAGACATCGATTGGCTAGAACTCTGTGAGTATCTCTTAAGTTATAAGTTCTTCATTATATTATTGCTTTTGTACCCATTTGCTTCTGTTTATAGCTGTGCCTATTTCACTTGCTCTGATCTTTGGTTTATGTTTATTTCATCTTGATAACAATTGAGTTTCCTGGACTAAGTAACTATTTGGTTACTTTGGTTTCTTCTGATTTTGAAATTTTTACTGTTTTATTTCTTTTTTCCTTTTTTGCTTAAATCATGCAGTGAAGTTTGTCAACTATGATTATTTAATTTGTTGTTGATTTGTAGTTTCTTCACCAATTTGGGTTGCTAGTTTTATCATTTAGTTTTGAGTGGGTTTCCTTAAGAGAGGCATTTAAGGGCTACAACTCTTCTAATGCTTCATTTATACTTAGAAAGATAAATGATGGAAAGCTATAATTTGAGAAGCATATAAGTACTTAATCTTCTACATAAGCTTAATTTTCGGTGTCGCCTTCGTTTTTGGTTTTGAGATTTTGAGCGAAAAAAGCTTACATTAGCTTCAAATCCGAGATTTCTTGATTGCAGCCTAAGCTCTCAACTAATAAATTAGAATGCGCTGCATATGTCACCATGAACTGAAATGTTATTGAATAATTTGTGGTCTATTTTTTTTATTTATTTTCTCTCTAAAAATTGAAGGTTTGGCTATTTCCCAGAAATATCGATTCAGCTTCAAAAGTTATAAGCCAATTATAAATGAAATTTTCTTCTTCGTTGATCAATTTTCTTTCATCTTTAGCAGATTTATTCCATTTTATTCCTCTCTATAAAGCATAATTCAGTCATCAAGTCAATTATCTTGCAATTGATGTTTTCCTGCTGTTTCTTGTCATGATCAGCTTCACTTTTCACCTTGCAGAAATGATCTTTCTTTAACCTAATGGCTGCTCTTGTTCTCTCTCTGGATTCTTTCTTATCCTCAATAAAAAATAGTTCATGCTTTCGTTTTCACTTGGAAGTATAGTGAAGAACAAGGCTTTGCTTGAGTCTTTTTTTTTTGCTACTTCTTAAGCAGCTTTTAAGTACAAAATTTTTAGTTTAAAAATTTTTTTGTATTGCTTCAAAAATCAGTAAGAAAGTAGTCCCAAATGAAGCATTCTTACTCTTCTTTTGACTTTCGTTTTCTTACTGCTTTCTAAAGCAGCTTTGACGCACAAAATTTTTAGTTTAAAAAAATAATACTAAAAAGCTGCTTTAAAAAACAGTAAAAAAGCTGTCTTAAACAAAGAATAAGGCTTCGTTTGGGATGACTATTTTATTGCTTCTTAAAGCAACTTTTTGGTATAAAAATGTTAATTTTTATACTAAAAAGCTGTTTTAAGAAGTTCTAAGAAAACCGTCCCAAATCAAACCTAAATCTTTAAAACCGGCAATCATAGAGCTTTCCCTGAAGCTTTAGTACATTATGTAAGTCTAACCTGCTAATGAATCTAGTCAAAACTCGCCAAACCAGTTAGATTTGCGCTCCTTAGCACTTGTGGAAGTAGGGTAAATGATTTGATCAGGATTGAGTGATTTATGTGGTTTTTAACTCCTCTAATTTTTAATGAATTTTAATATTATTCAGTCCAATTCTGTGTCAGATAAATTAAAATCTTGTTAATATAAAAATACCAAATGATATATGAATAGAAGATATGATTGAATGACAGTTTAGATGTAATTAATGATTAGGATTAAGACTAATCATACAAGATGGGAGGATTATTTGGTTAATACATAAGAGATATGATAAAGAAAAGTTTTAGGTGTAATTAATGATTAAGTTTAAGACAAATATTATAAGAGAGGATTATTTTTTTGTTAATAAAAAAGGTTTTAGGTGTAATTAATGATTGGATTTGACCATTATAATAGGACATATTGGGTTTGAAACTAAGAGTAGCCTAGCTGTCTTTGTAAAGAACAAATTAGGCACGTCAATCCCTCTCCTATTAAATAATCACAACTACTCAAGCACTGATACCCCTTATTTTTTAGTACAACAGAGATGCCATCAAATATATAATATCATAGCCGATAAAAGGGAAATAATATAATTTTTCATTGGAAATGGTCAATTGTTCATAAGGGCTGTACCCCTTAGCCTTTAATCCATTGAGGGCAAAGGTTGAAATAAATTTTAGCATTTTTTTGATAGTTGGATAAACTAGTCATAAAACTTGATATATCATCCAGCAATTATCTTAATCAGCGCGAATCTCGAGGCAAAATCAAGTTGGAAACTTTCGAAAGTAAATTTGGGATCATCCGAGCTCCGATTTCAACAAACTTATAGTTGAATTGAACGTCTCAAAAATACGAATCCAACGACACTAAATTCGACTCAATCCGAACCCAAATGAGTCCAAATCAAAGACCCGAAGTACTGTAGGAAGGTTCGAACCACAATTTAGTTTACCAAACAGTTTCTAAACGTGACATGTTTATAATTGAATCGAGCGGATTGACAAGACGAGTCCAACAAGCCCAAGATCACTAAATTCCTATATCACTAAGACATTCAAATGTTCAACAAATTGTCCATGATCAAGGGAATCAACATTGACCGTCCATACAAATCACTCCCAAAGTACCCTTGATCTTCCTCTTATTTACTGGACAAGCCACCCTAAAAAATCTATAAATAGAGCCCCCTTTCTCATGAAAAGGGACTCCAAGCCAAAGGAAACAATAGAGATCAGATATCACTCTTGCCCCTTGCTCCTGCTCAACCACAGCTTAGAGTTTTGTCGGACCACCGTATGACGTCGAAGTTCCCCCAGACTACCACATGACACCCGGAGTTCCGTCAGACCACCACATGACGTCGGAGTTCCACCGAAACACCACTTCACACCGGAGTTCTGCTGAACCATCGCCTTACGACGGCGTTCTACCGAACCACAACCTGCCGCCTAGAGTTTCGCTGGACAACCACCAGACATCGAAGTTCCGCCGGACCACCACCGTATGCCCGAAATTCCGTCGGACCACCACCTGATGTCAGAGTTTAGCATAACCACCACCTGATGCCTAGAGTTCCGCTGGGCCATCACCTAACGCCTGAGTTCTGTCGGACCACCACCTGACATTCAGAGTTCCGCCGGACCACCACCTGATGCTCTAAATTTTGCCAGACCACCACCTGACGTCAAACTTCCACCAGATCACTGAATGACATCAGGACTTCCGCTGAATCACCAAATAATGTCGGGACTTCCGCCAAACCACCAAGTGAAGCCGGACTTTCATCCCCATTTTTCACTAGACTACAACCATACGGTTGACATTTGTAATCAGATTGCCCTCAAAGATGAGTTAGCCAATTGTACTCAACTCAAACTCTAGTGGAATTATTTTCAACTTGGCTACGCCCCATAATTTTTCCCCCTTCTAGGGTTTTCCACATTAAAAATCATATGTTCTCTGTGTGTGAGCTGGATATCCACACAACGCTAAGACGTAGAACTATAACTATTTCACTGTGTATATACTAGCCTGCAATAGTTTGGCATCATATGTGAGAACCCCATTCACACTATCCTAAGTACTGATGTCAAATAGGCCTAGCCATTGTAATCTAGGAGCCTCTCGCTCCAACTCACACCAATCCAGAAACCATTCCATAAACTAGGGATGCCAGATGTCTGCCGCTTTTCACCGTGGTGAACAAAACCCTACCAGGGAAGGGACATTGAGACCATCTCTGGAGGATCACATTTGAAAGATGGAGGAATCTCAAAATGAGATCCTTCAACTCCTGTAAGAGACACGGAAATCAACACTAGCACCATAGGAAGAGATTCTTCTCCCTCAAGATCCACCGCTAGTCGAGGGTGTCCAATTTGAACATCTATATATATAGATTCCTCTTCCTCCGCTAAGGACTCATCTGCAATCACATCAAGATAATAAACTTGTTGACACAGCAAGCTCTACCCATCCTTTATGTGCAGGTCGACAACCTCACATTCCTCCATATGCCCCCGAGGACTTATCACAACCACGTATTGTTGAGCTCCAACATAATGCCCTGTGGCATGAAGTACGAAGATTAGTCCGAAAAGAGTTTCCTATGGGAGGTATAAGACAATCCCTTCATCAGAGGAACTTCTAGGAGTCACCACCCATGACTGAAGCCATCCTTCAACACCCCGTCTAGGTAGGATTCAAACTATTAAACATTGATTCTTATGATGTGACATCCAACCCGTATGAGCTTATCAATCATTACAAAATCTTCATACATATCCAGCGAGCCTCAAACACACTTCTCTACCAAGTTTTTCTTGCAACCCTTAGAGGGAAACCTCAAACATGGTTCTATTCGCTTACAGCCATAACCATTCCCTCCTTCGTCAAATTGGCTGAAGTGTTTGTTGAATAATTTGTTGATAATCGGAGAATGTTAAAAGAATCTTTCCAACTCTTAAGAATTCACCAAAATGAAAATGAGTCTCTCAAAGAGTAATTTCAAAGATTTTATACAAAGGCTCGATAAATTCCATGGGTGGTTCCCGAATTACTTAGAGAAGTTTTTCACGAAGGGCTTCGACTTAGCTCCTTTTACTCAGCACTCATGCAAGATATGATTCAATCATATGCTTATATGATCCATCACGTGGAGGCACAAATCTCCACCGATGAAGTGATTAATGCTAATAGAAAGCAATTTGAGTAAATAAATAGGAAGCATAAAAGTGCATTAAAGACGAAGAGTCCATCCTTGTAGCAAAAGAAGCAGGGAAATTCTAATTTGCCCCACGACCCTCACAGCCGTGACAAGAGCCTTGCCAAGAAAAGAAATACACACCAGTTAATGTAACTCGAGCAAATGTGTTGATGGCCATTCAAGATCAGGAGAATGTGAAGTGGCCGATTCCTTTAAAGCCCAGCGTGGGGAATTAAGATCAATATTATCATTTCCACCATAGTCAGGGACACACTACTGAAGTATATAGGCAACTCAAGAAAGAAATTTAGGGACTAATCTGATAAGTATATC